AAGCCAATGGCCATCCAACAGGCCTATGGTGGTGAGGAAGTATGGCTAGGACGTGATTATAGAGGGTCCACTCTCACGCCTCCTGGGAAAAGTTCAGGCTCAATTACCTCCCTGAAATGCTTATACACCAATGCACGAAACATGGGGAATAAGCAAGGCGAGCTGGAGATCTCTGTGCGGTCCCAGCACCACGATCTCATAGGAATCACAGAAATGTAGTGGGAGAGCTCAAACGACTGGAGTGCTGTCATGAAGGGCTATGTGCTCTTTAGGAAGGACAGGCCGGGAAGGCGAGGTGGTGGAGTTGCTCTGTATGTGAGAGAGCAACTGGAATGCATGGAGCTCAACCTGGGAGTGGATGATGAGCAGGTGGAGAGCTTGTGGGTAAGGGCTAAAGGGCAGGCCAACGTGGGAGACACTGTGGTGGATGTCTACTACAGGCCACCTGACCAAGAGGAGGAGATTGATGAGGCCATCTACAGGCAACTGGAAGTTGCCTCACAGTCACAGGCCCTGGTTCTCATAGGAGACTTAAAGTACCCAGACATCAGCTGGAAAGACAGCACAGCAAGGCACAAACAGTCCTGGAAGTTCCTACAGTGCGTTGATGACAACTTTTTGACGCAGGTTGTGGAGGAGCCGACGAGGAGAGGGGGGCTACCGGACCTCATACTAACAAACAGAGAGGGACTTGTTGGAGATGTGAAGGTGGGGGGCAGCCTAGGCTGCAGTGATCACGAGCTGGTGGAGTTCAGGATCCAACAAGGAGGAGGCAGGACAGTAAGCAGCCTTGCCTTGGACTTCAGGAGGGCCAACTTTAGCCTCTTCAGGGACCTGCTGGGAAAGATCCCGTGGGCTCTAGAAGGAAGAGGGGCCCAGGAGAGCTGGTTAGTTCTCAAGCAGCATTTACTCCATGCCCAGCAACAGTGCATCCGTGTGTGTAAGAAGTCAGGCAGAGGGGGCAGGAGACCTGTGTGTATGAGCAGGAAGCTTATGGCAAAACTCCAGCAGAAGAAGGCAGTATACAGAATGTGGAAGAAAGGACAGGCCCCTTGGGAGAAATACAGGAACATTGTCAGGGAATGCAAGGATGCTACAAGGAAAGCTAAGGCTCATTTGGAATGAAATCTGACAAGGGATGTTAAAAGTAACAAGAAAAACTTCTTCAAATATATTAACAACAAAAGGAAGGTCAGGGAAAACATGGGTCCATTAGTGAACGGGGTAGGTACCCTGGTTATGGAAAACAAGGAGAAAGCAGAGCTGCTGAATGCCACCTTTGCTTCTGTGTTTGTCAGTGGCAGCCCTCTGGAATCCCAGGCCCTAGGGACACAGGAAGTGAGCCAGAGAGAGGAAGGCTTGCCCTGGATAGAGGAAGAGTGGGTCAGAGAGCATCTAGGGAGCCTCGACACCCACAAATCCATGGGCCCTGATGGGATGCACCACAGGGTGTTGTGGGAACTGTTGGATGTCATAGCCGAGCCACTTGCCAACATCTTCGGAAGGTCCTGGAGAACGCAGGAGGTGCCGGAGAACTGGAAGAAAGCCAACATTGCTCTGGCCTTCAAAAAGGGCAAGAAGGAGGACCCAGGCAACTACAGGCCGGTGAGCCTTACCTCCATCCCCGGAAAAGTGATGGAACAGCTCATCCTGGCTGCTGTCTCCAGACACATGGAAGAGAAGAAGGTGCTCCAGAGTAGCCAGCATGGATTCACCAGGGGGAAATCCTGCTTGACTAACCTGATCGCCTTCTATGATGGAGTGACTGGCTGGATAGATGAGGGCAGAGCAGTGGATGTCATCTATCTGGACTTCAGCAAGTCTTTTGACACCGTCCCTCACAGCATCCTCCTGGGCAAGCTCCAAAGGTGTGGGATAGATGAGTGGACGGGGAGGTGGATTAGGAATTGGCTCGATGGAAGGGCTCAGAGAGTGGTAGTGAGTGGCGCAGAGTCTAGTTGGAGACCTGTAGTTAGCGGTGCCCCCCAGGGGTTGGCCCTCGGACTGGTCCTGTTCAACTTATTCATTAACGACCTGGATGAAGGGATGGAGTGCTCCCTCAGCAACTTTGATGATGATACTAAACTGGGAGGAGTAGCTGATATGCCTGAGGGCTGTGCTGCCATCCAGAGGGACCTGGACAGACTGGACGACTGGGCGGTTAGAAATCTCATGAAGTTCAACAAGGGTAAGTGCAGGGTCCTGCACTTGGGTAGGAATAACCCCGGACACCAGTACAGATTAGGGGTTGACCTGCTGGAGAGCAGCCCCGCAGAGAGGGACCTGGGCGTCATGGTGGATGACAAGATGACCATGAGGCAGCAGTGTGCCCTGGTGGCCAAGAAGGCCAATGGGCTCCTGGGGTGCATTAAGAAGAGCGTCTCCAGCAGGTCGAGGGAGGTGATCGTCCCCCTCTACAAAGCCCTGGTAAGGCCACATCTGGAGACTGTGTCTAGTTCTGGGCTCCCCAGTACAAGAGGGATGTGGAGCTGCTGGAGAGAGTCCAGCGCAGAGCCATGAGGATAATCAGGGTCCTGGAACATCTGCCCTATGAGCAAAGGCTGAGGGAGCTGGGCCTGTTCAGCCTGGAGAAGAGGAGGCTGAGGGGGGACCTGATCAGCGTGTATAAATACCTCAAGGGAGGCAGTGAGGAGGAGGGGGTGGCCTCTTTTCAGTGGTGGAAAGTGATAGGACTAGAGGAAACAGCCACAATGTGAGGCACCAAAAGTTCCACAGGAAGAATTTCTTGACAGTGAGGGTGACAGAGCCCTGGAAAACGCTGCCCAGAAAGGTTGTGGAGTCCCTTTCTTTGGAGATCTTCCAAACCCGCTTGGATGCAGCCTTGTGCCACGTGCTCTGGGTGACCCTGCATGAGCAGAGGGGTTGGACTAGATGACCTCTGGAGATCCCTTCCAACCTTAAGCATTCTATGATTCTATGATAATGTTTGTTGTTCAGTAGCTATACACTACTATAATGTGTATGTGTCACAAATATGAAGCCTGTATTTATATCATAAACCTGACAGACTTGCCCTCAGCAAAATTACGCAATGATGCAGGTTTGGTTACTGTCCCTCCCGCCCGTTAATTAAAAAAGACTTGACAGGCAACATTTTTTCACTTTCATACTCCCAGATGAGGAATTTTCTCTCTAAAAAAAAACATACCTTAAACCCATACACAAACCAAACCATATCATCAGCAATATTTAGCCATGCCCTTGGAACAGATCTAAATCCTTAATTTTAGAACATTATAAACAGCAAGAAAACAATGACATTAGTGTAGGACGCAATATTTGCTATGATAGATCTAACCTTGTTAGTAATGACTTGTAAAATACTGAGGGACTTGACAATGAAATAGATGATATAATTAAAATACAAAAATCAATGATAATATAAAAATAATATCATATCTTACATACGCATAAAGATGTCCTTTAAACAAGGAAATCACTAGAGTTATCAAAAGTGTTAACTTTAAATAAAGTGTTACTTCACGAGTATTTGCTTGAAAATGTCAGCTCAGTGCTGGACTAGTATCATTACAAAAGGCACTGAATATAAAACACTAGATGAATACATGATATGCATACACTTTTGAATACTGCTGACTTTAGAAATATTTCTAAGATGATAGTATTGGTCACACTGACAGAACATCAAGTGTTGATTTCTCAGTGTCTGTCAGCTTCTGTATCCAGCATGAGCACTCAACCCTCCACTTGGCAGGGCTTAAAAATCAAAACTCAACCCATAAGCATCATCTACTGAGCCAGTGAGAAGTAAATGTGGTTGACTGTGTGGTGAAAGCCATCTGCTCAGCTCCTGATTGTTCAGAAAAGAAACTTACCGCATCCTTTTATCAATTTGATACAGGTTTTATTCAACTAAAGTCTTCATATGCAACTACTTTATACAAAAGCTCACATTAACTCTGTTAACTCTTGTTACTTCCACCACTTTTGGCTTGTGCTATCCATAGTGCCAATGAAAATCTCAGTGCCTGAAAGAGCAGACCAAGATCAGCCCAAATGTTCAAGCACAGTGCATATGATTTTAGTACTTACTGCAACCTACAGCAGCAGCCTCTGTTCACAACTACAGCAATTTTGTGATCAGTCTTAAGATGCCTGATTGCATGAGCACAGCTTTCCTGCTTACAGAATAAACATCAATGTGACCACATTTAAAAGTCAGGCAAAAGCTTACATTGCTGAACTGAAGTCAGCATTCTCAGAATTTGGAAGGATCAATTCTAAAGTTTGGTTTTGCATAAGGAGGAATAATTCCAATATTTTTTTTTAATCTCCCAACCTACTTCCATAAATATTTGCTGCACCAGACATGGCATACTATGAAGATTTTATAAATATCATTTTGGAATTACCCGTACTCTCCATTTCCTGGTTTTGCTCTGGAGAAGTAACGTTCCTGCCTTAGACTTCTACCAAGGAACTTTCTACCATGCCACCATCTACTGTCTCCACCCAGCACATTCTAAGTGGATGAGCAGATTGAGGAGCAGGGTAATGATTTCACACTGTCTGGTGAGGATGTGGCACAATACCTGAGGCACAATAGAGAACTGTACTTGTTGCTGTGTTGCAGGCTGTGTTCGGATTCCCTTCTCTCTTCCCTTCCCTCTTCCCTTCTTTCTCATGTTATAGGCTGTTTCACTCTGTCAGCTGATGCAAATGGAAAAAGGAGCTGTGACCTGTATTTTCAAAAGAAATAACTGCAAAGTGAAAACTTTAAATTTTGGAGCTGATTTTCCTGCTCTATGGAAGGAAAAGGCTTTTTTTTTTTTTTTTTTTTTTTTTTTTTTTTTTTGATGGTCATGATTTTGCTGAAACAAATATAAATATCCATATAGACAATTAATTAGTTACCCTCAAGAGTCTAGTATAACATTATATAGCTGCTCTAATGTAAATATGTTGGTGAAATTTTTATGTGGTGATAGAATATCCCAGAGGTATAAAATCAGAATAAGTCTGAATAATACAGAAGTAGATAGAAAACACTTGCAAATACTGGAGTACCGGTCTATGGTACAGAATATAGGTCAAGAAGACTCTTTCATGCCCTATGTAGTAGGAAATAATAGTCAGGGGTGTGGGGCTTTTCCAATAGTTATACTAAAAGGGCTATGAGAAGTTCTCGTATTCCTGTACTCAAACAAATGTTCACTTAGTGTGATTCATATCCCTATCAGCAGGACTGTCTGAACAGGTCTTTTACAGAGACCCTGGCATTTTTTTAAGTTTTCATACTTCTTTCTACTCCTGGCTCTTTTGCACAAAAAACATCTTTTTCTGGAACCTCTGTTCATGAACTAATATTTTTCTCAGGATAGAACTAGGATATAACTGGATGTAATTCTGTTAATGTCTGTCCAGGAGTTCGCTAGTACAAATAACTAATTTATCACAAAGATAGGTCCAAGATTTACACTGTAATTTTTTTTTTTCCATGATATGTCCTGCTTGAAGTGCTATTTTAGTGATTCGTTTTCTTCTTCTTTAGTCTGCATTTCCACTGGTGGATTCATTAAGACTTTGCTTTCAGAAGATTTAAGTTTCTTCTTTAAAATAAGGAGAATGAATACACTTGGGATATAGGACACTCCACGTAATAATGCTGGCAGACCCAGGTAGAGCCATCTGGAATAAAAGATGAGCTTCATTAAATAGATGGATTAATGAAACAATGGCAAAAGTATCATGTATCTTTTTGTGATAAGAGCCAAACTGCTGTAAAGGTTGTGCCCTGAACCTCTTGGATTTTCACCTGGATTAATCTTTTTTTTTTTTTTTTTTCCACTAGGACTTCCTACTTTTCATTTTTGTTATCAAAGCTGTAGTGTGCTAATGTCTGTTTTCACGGCAGATATTCAACGCATGTAAATATGGTCATCGGAACTTTTTGTTTAAAGGACATTGTGTCTGTGGCAAAGGTAGCACTTGACAATTCAAGCCAATACCAAAGAGTTAAATCTCTAACTCAGGAGCAATTTGTGTGCTAGATTAAGTTTGTGTATTATATAATGATGAAGAACATACATCTATTTCTCTACACATTTTATAACACAATAAGGAGGAGAAATGCATAAAATAAAAAATATACCTGTAAGTGACAATGTCATACATCCTGCATGCTCCTTCTCCTCCACAGCTCTTCGTACCCCACTTCAAACAAGTGGTGTCTATCAATGCTCCAAAATAAATGGGAGATGGAATTCCAGCTAAAAATTGACAGTAGAAATGCCTTATGAATTTCCTATTTTTTTCTGATCAACAGGTACACTACAGAATTTGTGTTGTTTCTCATCAACTTCATCAGTCCTGATCTCTTTCAGCATGAAGTATACTCTCTACTTTTCATATGTTTCCTCTTCTTTCTTATCCACCTACTCTCAACAAAAAAATCCTCTCTCCTATTACGTATTTAACAATATAAAAAACAATATAAAAAACAATATAAAAAACATAAATTGTGATTCCTACTCAAAACTCAGCCTTTACTGTTACCAATGAGAACGTGTTGTGTTCAGTGAACACGTGAGAGAAGGGAAGGAATACAAGATGGCTTGATGAGTCACCCATATAAATGCACACAAACGGAAAGCTGTTTAATTTGTTACCCTGTCTAGATTTATTGAAAAAAATATTCCCTACACAAAGCCTCCATAGAGATGGACAGCCATACCATGCCTATACCCCAGCTCTGAACTATACCTAATTCCAGATAAGTTCTAGAGATGCTTCCAAAGTGCATTAGAACTTTTCTTACCAAATACTCTTGAAGCCAGTCCATGGATACCCACTCCTAATGATTTTTCTTCAGGCTTTAGAGACCTAGATGACAATTACATCATACACAGATTAACAAAAGTGACATAAATAAGAAATAGTAATCTCTTTTGTTTTGTTTCAGTCAAATTCTTCATCACATTATGCTCAAATAATTCTGACTAGAGCAGTGGCTGAAGAAGTTCATAATTTTCATTACATGACTTTAACTGAATTTCCCTAAGCAGGCCTGTCAGATCACCAAAGGAAAGGCTATTCTTATTGTCCCTGCATCAAGGCCAAGGCAAGAAGACAGTGGTGGCTTAATCATCATCGTGGTGATGTGATCAATAAGCAGATGGATGTTATGCACCTTTCACTATTATCTTGATGCATCGACTCAGCGATCTTTCATTAATTCAGGATACAGATGACAGACAGAAGTAACATCAGTTTGTAAAGCTATCAACATTTAGCACAACACTAAACCCTAACAGTCAGCACAGAAGTGGCATAAGATCTTTCTAGTCTTCCTCCATCCATGCAAAGTAACAGGTGCCTAACTCTTGGAAGTGTTTGACCTCAGAATAAAAAGCCCAGGAGGATTCTTAAGATAAGAACACTTCACTGTACCTTATTAAGACCATATACCCAGGCGTGGCTGATAAGGAAAAAATGAAGCTGCAGACTAATGACAATATTAAATAATAGTGAAGCATCTTGTCACAGTTTTCTTCTTTGTCACACTGGCCCAGAATTGCAGAGACATTTTGAGATGAAAATCCTGAGGCTGCAATGCAGGTGCAGTTTTCAAATACCTGTCAAAAGAGCATTTTAATCACATCGACCTGTTAAAATGTACACACGGAGTGTGAAACTCGCACAATTGTTGCCTTGCTCATTCTCCTGAGTCTACGTCACATGTGTAGCCCTGCACTGTGGCCTCTCTCCCCATCTGCTAGGCATAGGTCCATGATAACTGAGTTAAGGCCAGGTCATAATATCATCACTCACGTGCTTGCTTATACCAAATCAATGATCATCTTCAGAGAAGAAGGGCTAACAATTGTCACCCATAGTAAGAAAGCGCATCAGCAGTTGGCTCTTACTAAGTATTCTCTGAAATATTTGAATAGTATGAAGGATTCCTAAAATCTGTATGGCTTTTTTTCTTGTTTAAGTTTTTATTTTCAACAGTGTTCCATCTAATCAGAACTTATATATAAATTAATTATGAAAAAATGTAGGCTTACAAATGAAGTTAGGATAACATAGACTCTGCAGTACTCAAATATGTATTTAAATCTACAAAGTAAAAGAGATTTTTATATTCACGCTATAAAATCTCATTCTGGCTAATGGAGTGCTCAGGATTCAGATATGCTGACAATACCTTGAGAATTACTTCTCACGGTGTTTTTAATATTTTGACTTCAATTATTACAGGAGGCTTCTTCATTATATTCTTTAAATTATTTTAAACTAATTTTGATATCCAGCTTGGAATTTCTGTTGCCACTCCACAGATTTGTCCAATTCTGTCTCCTATTAGTCCAATTAAATCTGTGGATAGGTATGGATATTTCTTCTCCTATTCCTTAAGTACTGTATTTCATAGCTACAGCACAAAAAAAAAAAATAATGTGTGCTTTACCATATGTTTTCCTGTTCCTGTTGAGGCTTTGCACCCAGCAAGACAAGGCGACACATAAGTGACTCCGTTATCCCCACAGACAGGGTCCCATATTTTCAGTGCGCAATTACAATCATTGTTGCAGCCAGCAAGGAGAGTATTTTCTGTATATGAAACATGCTCTCTCCTGAAATACATTTAGAAATTGAATAAATAGTTTAGTAATGTAATCCCTAGTATAAACCTTTGAAATGCTTAAGTTTCTATTCCAGCTCAAGTGCTGATCCAAGACACTGCCATACATGCTCCCTTTCCAGCAGTCATGCCTGTCTATCTTTTCATACATTATTATGCTATAGGATGTACTCATAACTAGATATACAAACCCAAGAGCATTCTTCTCATGTATCATTTAAAACAGGAATAAAAAGTTAGAGCTATATACCTAGTGTCTCACATAGTTCTAAAGACTAGAAAAGTTAGACCCTTGAGCTGAAAAGTACCTCGTTTTTTTTTGCAAAACTGTGAAGTCACTGTAGACTTTGACAATGAACACTTCATTCCAGTGTTGTGCCTTACATAACATACCCTTCATATGAAACTGTTAAGCCAGCAACTGGTGAAGCATCACAGATAGTCCAATAGGTACTAAAGTAGAGAAGGTATCCCGATAAAGATATCCAAAATGCTATGTTTGCAGCCTGAAAGGTATTTGTTTTGAACTTCTTCATGAACAAGCCTCCAAAAAAATATCCAATGCATACAACTGGTAAGTTGTAAATACCTGTTTAAAAGAGTAATACCTCTTAAAATTAATAAGAGACCATCCAAGCTAACTATAAAGGAAGAATGTGCATAAAATTTGGCAAAGATTTATAGAGAGCTTTTGACCAATTAATCTATCTGAGGTTCCCTTGCATGCCAATAAAACAGTCAAAGTTGTGTACTTCTGGGAGAACCAATGGCTAGGACTCAAATAATTCACTTGGATGGGGGGACTGTGATGTAACCCTGTCTTATTTTGTGTTTAAATCAGACTACGGTTGTAGACTGCAATTTTCTGAACTGAGATGCAGGATCACATAATGGAGTGCGTCTTTGTCTACACAGAGCATCACAGAAAGAAAGAACATGCAGTTTCAGAATTCAGTTAATGTGAATACACTTCACTCTTTCAGAGTTTGACATTTTAAGAAAGCAAGGATGGACTGAGAGGTATCTAGGAACTAGTTTTACACAAACATCACATGTCTTGGTTGCCTTTCCTCAAGATTATGTTGATTCTTTAGCAATTCTTGACAGCATGTGAGCACCGGTAACATGAGAAAAGGGGAGGAGACATTAAATGAGACCTGCTCTCCTCTCAGAATACTCTGTAAGTACTCTTTTTCAGTCCAACTGCTAGCTAGCTAGCCAGTTCTTTGAATACCCAAGATGATCAGACTGAAAAAGAACCCTGCAGTGGTGCAATGGCACTGTCTACATACAGAGATGTACGCTAGCTATATAACTTTGTATGCAGAGCTTCAAAACACTGATGACAAAGGATATTAGTAGTATTCATAAGGTCTTGAACATTCTTTGTGGTAGTATTTAAAGAAATTGTGGCAACTATTAAGAAAGATAAGCATTCAGTTAAGGAACAGAAGGATGTCTGGAGGTTAATTCAGATGATTCTTCTGTAATAATTTGTCCTGATCTAATTAAGTCACATCTCTTAAGTAAGAGAAATGAAAAGGTTGAACCTACTGTTTCAGGATACTGAAACTACTCGCCATTAGCATAATCTCTTTGACATTACTTGTGCAACTGGTACAAATTTTATCAGATGATATAACATATCAAGTGAATTCTTCTGGGACACCCTAAAAGGTGGGAAATGGACTACCGCAAAATACTGCATAGAAAATCTGGAGACAGCTGGTAGAAAATGCAAAATGATTATTTAGAATGCTTTGTAATAAGAAAGTTCTCCCGTGTAGAAGCAATTGACTCTAGCATGTATATACATGTATATATACATATGCACATGCATACATGCATAGTGCATGTATAGAGAAAGAGAATTTTCATCTAGGTGGTAGATCAGAAAAAAAGGAAAATGTGAATGTACCAATTGAAAAGATGGCATCTGATGCAGATTTCCCAAACTGCTGTTCCAAGTATTTTGGCATGAAGGTCATTATGCCATTGAATGCGCTGAACTGTAACACGGTTATGCATATAAATAACATATATACTCTATTGTGAAACAGAGCCTTGAGGTACGGTATGAAATCTGGAATGAAAGAATGCAACAAGTTAGTGTGATGCTTTCTGAAATGAATCATCCATTGCTCAGTATGGCTGAGGAGGAAAGAACGGAGCAGAGATGGTTTTTAACTCTATCAGGTTAATTCTTGTACTTGGAGCAGAGATGGTTTTTAACTCTATCAGGTTAATTCTTGTACTTGGACAGACACCACAGGCCAAAGGCTGTTCACTTAGTGAAGACTTCCCCTGTTTCTCTTCCGTGACTGGAGGCAAACACACACAATCACACAGAGCAGTTACTGATGCTCATCAAAAATCTCATCATAAAGTTTTCCTGAAGCTCATGAGTTAGACCACGAATGAATCTTGTGACTACAGATTTGCAGCAGCACCTACTGCTCACCGATTCTCAATTCTTTTCCCTTCATCCCATCCCTGCAGAGCATCTATCAGAACCCCCTTCTGGCACGTTGGAAGCAAAAGATTGCAAAGGGGAAAGAACACACACTACAGACAGATACAGACTAGATAGC